AAGAGGGTGGACAAGTAGAGGGAACAGCTCATTCAGGCACCAGAAAAGCCCAAATTTGGCAGCCACTGGGGTAGAGTCATTGTAAGGAGCCCTGGTGTCACAGCGGGTTAAGTGTTGGGCTGCTGACCACAAGGTCAGTGGTTCAAAGACAACATCCACTCTGCGGGAGGATGAGGCTGTCTGCTCCTGTAGTCTCAGAAATAACTACAAAGCAATTCTACTGTGTTCACAATATATCCGTGTGCATCTGAATTGGCTCAAGAGCAATGGGTTTCTTTTTTTTTTTTTTTCATTTTGTAGACAGTGTGGGATTACCCAGTAAACAGGGTAAACTTGGACCTATTTGTACTTAATTACTAATCCACGAATCCGTAGTAAACGGTTTCAAAGGAGCCCTGGTGGCACAGTGGATTACATGAACCCACTAACTGCTCCACAGAAGAAAGACTTTTTGTTCCCACAAAGATTTACAACCTCGGAGATCTGAAAGGGCAGTTCTATTCTGTCCTATAGGACTGAGTCAGTAAACACAGTAAACATTTTTCCACCACATCATCGATTATGCTTCTAGGTATGACTGGCATTGTGGGGTACCAGCCTCCACAACAGAACGGGTGCAAGGGGCATTTGGGTAATTGACAGGTAAAATTAAAGACACATCAGACAAGAAAAGGCATGCAAGTGCTCACCTCCTGATCGCCATGACTTGGAGTCAGGTCCGCGCAGAGAGAGAGAATATATTGCCAACCAGGGCTTATATATATTCTAGGGACGTGCCAGTCCCCTAACTACAAGTAACCACATGCGTATGATTGGCAGATGCGTAACAAGACAGGTGGGCTCTAGAGTCAAGATGGCAGCCTAACCTGGGTCCTCCCTGGGTTGACTTGACCTTAGGTGTCCTTGGGCTCTCCTTCAGGGGAACAATCCATTATCCTATCAGAAGAGAGTGGGCTCTACTTAGGGTGGGGCAGACTAATTGCTCTAGATGGATGATAACCTTCAGGCAGATAACCTTTAAGTAGTTGACCTCCAAGTGTATAGTCAGTGACCATGTTTGCAAACAGCACCTGAGTGAGGTTTGGCATTATCATCGGGGGACAACCTGGGGAACGTTTCCCACAAATCCCCCTTTTGTTTCATGTATTAAATTCAAAAGCTACAGAGGCAACATGGTCACTTTCTATACATTGAAAGATGACAGGCAAAATTAATGACAATTTTAATGCAGCCAAACCAAAGATTTGAGCTATAGCAAATTTCTTGAATCCAGGCTTGTGGGGTAAAGCCGCCCCCGCCCATCCACTATTGGGGGAAGGTATGAGCAGTTGGGAGACACAGAGGGAAGAGAGCAAAAGAATGTCTGCTTCTATAGTTAAAGCTACCAGCTACATAGCCATCAGCCATGTGCTTGTAAGAGGTAACTTTAAGGTAGCACTATTATGGGATGGTATAGTGGGGAACAATACTAATTGTGAGAATGTTATTGGGACTTACCTCCAACTCACAAGGGTGAAGGCTTCCTTCTACCCCAGAAACCCAGCCTGCCAGCCTTCTTAATATATGAGACTATCAGGTAGCTAGCTTAGGGACGGGGTTGTCCCTCCCATGCCTGCAAAGGCCGCCAAAGAAGCAGTTGGAAAGAAATCAGGCAACCATTAGACACCTAGGAAGACCCCCAAACTGAGCATGCTCATACTCAAACCCCTGAGCCAGGTGGATGGTACACCTGGGTGGGCCAAACAAGGCCCAGGCTCATGATATCAACCAGGTAGGCCTAACTCAGCCAATGGGGTCAGCCAATACCATCAACCACGCCTTCCCCCAGCCAGGGGGTGGACTAGACTAAAGGCAGGAGCACGATCTGGGAAGCTCTCTTACCCTGCTCCTGGTCAGAGGCAGGGAGAGGGGGGAGGGTCTCCCTCCCCAGCACAGAAGCAAATGCGCCCTCTCAGGGCCTACAGGGGCCCACAGCCTCTTGGCCCACAGGCTCTCAGCCTCTAAGATTTTGGGGCTTCTGGCCTCCACATGCATGGGTGCTATTTTCCACGTGGTTGTTCGGGCCCAGTTGTGAACCCCTTTGAGATTGTAAAACCGAAGCAGCCTGTCCTTCATAAAAATCCACTTGGATTACAAAACGGGCTTTGGCATGAATTCTTTCATCATGCAAAGCCACGAACCGACGTATTTCGGGCTCCAGAATCTAACAGATTCATCCACAGACACTCTCTTCCCATTCTTTGCTCCCCACATGACCTCCCTCTCCGTCCCAACCCCGTAGCTCCTCCCTACAAAAACCAAAGCCTCTTTTCAGATGTACAGGCCTGACAGGGACAGAGTACTCAGGAAGCAAGGTAACCATGAGCTTACTTATGCTAATTTATTAATCTGTGGTAAACAGTTTGAACCACCTCAAAGACTGACCCTGAAGGAAATAATCATTACAGATTAATAAGTAAGCACAAGTAAGCCCATGCTTGTCTTGCTTGTTGAATAACCTGCCCCTGCCTGGAGTTCCTAGGAGCAGCCCTGGTTGGCACAGTGACTGAAGCACTTGGCTGGTGGCCAGAGGTCATGTGGGAACCACCAGCAGCTCCTCAGGTACACCACTTCCATAGCCATGTGACCCTATGGGGTAAGTCTAGTCAGTCTGCGAGGGTCACTATGAACTGCTGGAGGGGGGTTAGGGGAAATCTGGAAAGGATTGAGAACATCCGAGGAGGTGGCAGCGGAAGGTGTGTGCAGTAATGAAGGGCAGTGATGGTGGGAACGGGAGGAAGACGGTAGTAGATGATCCCAGAGGTTTGTCCTCAGGCTTCAACCCAGAGTTCAACAACTTCAGTGATCCTCGTCTCCAAGCTGGTTCCCACTCAGGCCTCTCCATGGTCCCCATCTCGCTCTCTTTCTCTCTCTTTCGTTCTAGAACCATCCAATGATTGAAGAAAGAGCCTTGGGCTAGTAAGATAACCAGCTAGGTTCAGATTTCAGTACTGTCCCTAATTAACCATGAAACATTGAGCAAGGTCCTTTAACAGCTGCATTTATTAATACTCCACCTTGTTCCAGAAAGCATTTAGGGCGTCAACAAGTTACTTCATACCATGGCTTCAGTGTCCTCAATCTGACTGAGATGCTTGGCCTAGGCGATCTCAGTCCCTCCGGCTCCAACGTATGTTCTGTCGATGAATCCAAGTGAAGATTTGTCATCCGAATATTCACATTCAGAGTGAGAAGTTGAACCTACAACGCAGTCCTCTTGGAATTCCGTTAATGCATCACCATCCTACCAGTGATCCAGGGCCACAAACTTAGTATTCGCCCCGCTCCTGTGTACCTTGCTCCCTCAGAGTCTAGGGAATCTCACGCCCCAATGTCACTCTCCTCCCCTCGCTCCCCCCAGCTCCTTTTATACGGGCACTTGGAGTACAAACCCTCGTTGGCTTTCTGCCTGTCCTGTTCATTTGGCTCTCAATTGTAACACTCCTGGATGGATAACGTGGGGACAGTTCTCACAATGCCACTACTGTTCTTCCAATTGCCTGCAGAAAACCGTCCACGTCCCATGAGCCCAACTGTGCAAACGACCCGGCTCTCATCTCACGACTGTCCATGTACCGACACAACGGAATTCACTGCAGCCTACTTAAAGGGTTCCCACCTCAGCCCTGCCCGAGACACCCTTCCCCGACATCTTTGTTAGAAGCCTCTCTAGCCTTATTTCTAACTCTTTTGAGACTTTTAGTCAGGTTTTGTCATTTAATTTTTTTCCTAACTTGTATTAGTCCTCCCCCCACCACATTAGGTGGCCAGTACCTCAAAAACAGACCAAATTTCATTCATCGTTATTTCCCCCCACACCTGCTCCCACACCTCAATGAGAGAGATCCCGTTGAGGCGCAGTTCAAAGATCACCTTTGAACTCGGATTTTTAGAGGCAGAAACCATCTGAGCAAATGGCCTCATCTAACATGAGGAAACTAAGGGTCAGAGAGGAAAGTTACTTGTCTAATGTTTCCCAGCTTTCCTGACACCGGTCTTTCTTCCAACTGCTCTGGTGGCACTGTTTGGAGCCTTGTTATATTCAATCCGTTTCCACGTCTCATCTCCCTTCCTGAGTGTAAGGCACCTTCAGGCCCACACCACGCCTTTGTTGATGCCCGTGTCACTGCATGTTCTTAAAGTGCTTGCTAGATGGAACTGGCCTTTGGAGGTCAGCGGAGGCTATCAGAGATGGGACAGACTTAGTTACTGAAGGCAGGACCCCCAATCTGCCCCCTCTCTCTCTGACCATGGTGCGTAGCTAGCTCTATGCAGGCTCATTCACTGACTCATGGCAACCACAGGGCCGGTGTTTCTGTGACGGTAACTCTTGATGGGCGCAGGAAGCCTCCCCTTTCTCCCAAGGGGAGTTCAAACTGCCGACTTGGTCATTTTAGCTGCCCAGCCTGCCACCCAGAGAAATACTTGGGAATGGAGCAGACTGCTTCTGAGGTGAATGGAGCTTGTTGTTTTAGTACTGGGGAGGTTAGGATTGAGTAGAATTCCTGTAGCAGATGTGTAACTGCACTACTTGAGTGGACACTAGGTGGCAACACCGCAGAAGACTCTGGCTGAGACTTGGACAAGGGAGGGGACTGTGAACTGCTGGAAAGAACCTTGTTGTTGGCTGCTGTGGAGTCCCTTCTCTCTTGGGAACGCCCGTGTGCAGGAGAGAGCGAGCTGATCCTCAGGCCTTCACGGGATTGCCAGGCATGGTTTCCAAAGTGCCACTGGGTGGTTCGAACCACTAACCTTCCATACGAAATTGGCCAGTGCTTAACCTAACTTTAGAAACTATCCACTCCAACCTCTCCATTTTGCAGCACAAGAAATCCAGAACCAGAGATGGGAATAACTTGCTCCATAATTGCTGAGTGACAAGTGAGTCACCAGCGGTGTCGGCACAAAAGTATTGGCTGAAATTGTGAAGTGAGTTACTGTTGCCATCTCATGATGTGATTCCTGTTTTGTGTGTTTAGATTAAAAGATGCTGCTGGGAAAAATCTCCCGGAAGCTCTGCAGCTTAAAGCAACTCCCATGGTCATCCGACTCCAGATCCTTCTGGGGCTGGCTGAATGCAGTGTTTAATAAGTAAGTCACTCTCAGACAGGGGAAGAACGGTGGGAATGACTTCTACTAGATGAGTGCCTCACAGCTTTTTTTTTTAAAATACTTTTGAACAGTATTATAGTATGACCCCTAATTTTGTTTTAAAATATACGTTTAAACAGATTCCAAATACCAGACAAATAGATTCCAAAATATTAACTGGCTGTTTGGGTTATCAGATTTCAATAGTTTTTCTTTTTTCACTTTTCAGTGATTTCTATGTTTTCTAAAATGAACATTGAATAGATTTATAATCTTACAAGCTCAATAAATGTAACTTTAAAATATGCTGTTCTGCAGCTTTTCCCCAATGTATTTAAATTTTTTCCACTGTGGCAATCTATTTGCCAATGCAGCATTTTTATATTCATTGACATTGATTACATTCATCATGTTATACAACCATCACTGTTACTCTTTTCCAAATTATTCTACCACCACAAACAGAAACGCATTGCCCCCAAGTAACAACCCCTCCTTCCCTCTCGCCCCGGGTATAACCACTGTCTGGTCACTAGATATCTGCCGAGGAGCCCTGGTGGCATAGCGTTTATTCCTTCGGCTGCTAACCACCAGGTCAGCAATTTGAAACCACCAGCCACTCCCTGGGAGAAAGAGGAGGCTTTCTATTCCTGTTCAGTTACGTATAGGAAACTCATAGCACCCTATAGGGTCAGCTCCGAATCAATTAACGGCAGTGAGAGAGAGATTTGTCTACTCCAGACATGTCATATAAGTGGGATCGTACAATCTCTGTCCTTTATGAGCATAATGCCTTCAAGGTCTAACCGTGGTGCAGCTTTTTATCAAAGTGGCCATGGTGGCACTGTGGACTAGGTGTTGGGTTGCTAACAGCTAGGTTCATGGTCAAACCCCCAGGAGAAAGATGAGGCTGTCTGTTCCTATTATGATTTTAGTCTCAGAAACCCGACATAGGATTGCTACCAGTGAGATCAACTCTACAGTAGTGAGTTTGGGTTTGTTGTTTTGGTAGCATTTAGCAGGACTTCATTTCCCTTTTTGGCTGACTAATACTCTGTTGTATGTACTGACCACATTGTGTTTCTCCACTCGACTGCTGGTGGCATTTTGGTGGTTTCCACCTTTCTGCCATTGTGAACAGTGTTGCTGTGTGAACATTGGTGCACACGGTTCTCTGGCTTCTTCAAAAATACAGTATCCTTTTGAATACCATCAAACCAACTCAAACATTTTAAAAGCTAGTGGGTAGCATGCTTAGAAATACCAACTTAAGGCAGATGACACCTCTCACCATTGCTTATTATAGCATTAAGACAAATACAGAAAAAGACAAATTAATCATGAGATTAATTTGAAGACTTAAATTATACCTTCTTTAATCTTTTTATCAGTAATATAAAAGGATAATCAAGTATAATCACTTTTGTAGTCCCTAGTTAACTGAGAACCTTCTGATCTTAAGCACGGAATAAGTGAAAGCTCATGTGTGTTTGATAATCTCATAAAAATAATGTCCTTTTGTTTTTCACTTGGAAACAAAAGCAAAACGGGTAGAGCGATGACATTTATCGTTTAGCATGCCTGTCACTAATACAGTTAGCATCCTTCTCGGGCATTTGCGATGAAATGCATTTATGTTAGAATCCTAGTTAAGGCACTAATGGTGATAGTAAAAGCAAGTTTGTTGTTGCTCTTCTGTAAACAGAGTGGATCGCGAGCGCATCAGGGCCGTGGGCGCAGACAGGGCGGCGTCCGAGTGGCTGCTGCGCTGTGGGGCCACGGTGCGCTATCACGGCCAGGAGCGGTGGCAGAAGGACTACAACAACCTCCCAACTGGCCCTCTGGACAAATACAAGATTCAGGCAATAGACGCCACCAACTCTTGTATCATGAACATTGGATTTGACCACCTGGGTAACTACCCTACCATTTTCTTTGTTTTAGTGACTGTTGTGTTGCACTTGATTATTATAGTCGAAGGCTGATTTCAGTCCACCTTAGCTTGTTTCTTTCTGTCAAGAGAGGTTATGTATACACAGCTTCTTCTCCTTCATGTTCACACTAAGCTTACCTTTACAGAGCTGTATTTGTGGTTATTGACTTAAAATGCAAAGCCTTTGATTCTTCTCAAACTTCTGCCACCGAGAACTCAATAAATATAGGGACCCTTCTACCTGTACAGCTTCCCCTTGGCAAGGACACCTGACTTCAGAACGGCTCTGTCCATCAGCACAAGCTGGTTAGTGCCTGCCTCTGATGGGTAGTAAGGTGACCAGTGGTCAGTTTTCCTGGGACATGGGATTTCCAGGGCTAAAGCCAAGACTATCCCAGGTAAACCAAGAAATGCCTAAAGAGAAAGCAGATTTGTAAAGCGCACCTTTTTTCCCCTCCAGAGGGCCTGCTGCATGTTGAAAAAATCAAACTCTGCCAGTGTCATTATCTCGAGGATGGCTGTTTAGAGAGGCTCAGTCAACTTGAAAATTTACGAGAAAGCCTCTTGGAAATGGAAATCATTTCCTGTGGGAATATCACAGACCAGGGCATCATTACGCTGCGTCATTTGAGGTAGGTGGCCAGGCCAGAGTGGTACCCTGCTGACAACAGCGAGGCAAATGAAAAGCTCAGAATTTACACCAGTAAGGATGATGGCAATGTATTAGTTTTGAAAAATATTTAATGGCATAACTTTCATTTCAGCCAAAGTTGGCTTCAGCTGTCTTGAAGCATTACATGCAGGTACGATTGAATGTTTAGCGGGGCTTGTTTTGCTTAATTAAACTGATGTAAAGCATCTAGCATAGGGGCTGCTCTGGTCAACTCTTAATTATGGTTCCTCTCTAATTTTAAAAATACTGACATATAATTCACGTATTATACAATTCAGTATTTAAGTATGTTAAAGAGCATTGTGCATACATCACCGCAATCAACTCTAGAACATTGTTTTCATTCTTCTATCCTGTTTTGTCATAGCCCTAAGAAACTATTTTCCCCCCACACTTATGCAGGTTTATTGGGGAAGTTCACAGGTTACCATCGGTCAGGCGCAGTAAACCGTAAGGATAGTCATTGGTCCACAGCAGCACTGCTCAGCCAGTAGCCCATCTCTCTCTCTGGCCCTCCCTCCACCTTTCGGCCACATGGTCCCTTGGTTTCTGTCTCCATGCACAAGGCAGTCTTCTGCTATGCTCCCTCCCTGTCTCAGGGTCTCAGGGGCACAGCCCTCTGCTCTGCCCCACAGTCTCTGTGCCGCAGCCTCGGGCACCTCTGTTCTTGGTGCCACTTTAAACAGGGGCCTCAAACATGTTCCTTTGGTGGCTCTCCTTCCTTGAGGGACCCCCTATTCGTCTACCTGCTGTCTCTATCGATGACCTATCCTGAATTTCATATAAAGAAAATCACTCAAGTACAAACCAAAACAGCAACAAGAGAATAAAACACAGAACCTCAGTCCAAAAGATAGCAGAATGTATATATAAAACTAGAATATATATATTAGACTATAAACTAGAACAAATTGAAAATTAGTTCAAAGGAAAAGTAAATGGTTAAGATGTTAAATTTACCCAAACTACTTCTGCAGTCATCAGCATTCTGATGTCCTCTGCCTGGGGAGCAAGACTATGTATCTCCTTTGTCAAGGGACCTAGGGAATTCCATGGAGTACTTGGTCCACAGGAGATGTCTGTAAATGGATATAGGGCTTCTACTGTCATTGAAAGCCATTGGCAAACCAGGTGCTCAGAAGTGAAGCTCTGAGATCGTCACCTGCTCTGATTTTGGATTTTATTGTTCATAATTCTTGATCAGGGGTGGTTGGCGTGCTTTTGTGGGGACTTGGAGGACACCTCACTTGGATGGCTGCTTTGTTCTCCACTTATGAAAGCAATTTCCCCATGTTCTCGGTAGTCACTTGACACTTGATATATACTCCTGAGTGTTTAACTCTGTCATTGCTACCTTGAAACAGTCACCTTTCTGTCTCTGTGGCCTGTAGTACTGCCCAGCCCTATATTTCAGAAACATGCATCTACTGGTCAGGTACACTGGTTTAGGTCAACTTCCACCACCAGTCGGACCCATGTGATACACACAAGTCACAGAATCCCAACAATGAAAACCAAATATTACCAAGGAATTTCTCATTCTAAAATTGCCACGTTGCCTTATCAGGATGATGACGAGAGGATGAAAGTTTCTTTAACCAAACCCCTACTTTAGCGATACCATAATTCACATGCTAATCTAGTTGATGTGCTTCTGTGTGACTCTGTGGTGAATATACCACTAACATCAATGTCACAGAATGTTTGAGAAGTTTTAAAACACCGAGACCACAAGCACTAGATTGTTCATCTTTTAACAGTGGAGCTTCGTCTTCTAATAGAAACAAGTCCCTTTAAGAAGCATTTTCTCCCCTTTGGGGGTTAATATTCAAGGTTCCTATTTCACATACAAAGGCATTCTATGCCCTAATATATAGTATTGGGAAATATTCAGCTATACATAGTGCTATAATTCAGTACCAGAGTTTCCAAAGCTGGGCTTAGCTCCTCGCCTGAAGCTCATTTATAGCAGTGCTTCGAAACCACTGTTCTAACAGTTTGAAGGCCCAGGGTGACATAGACATATACTGTGTGTCATTTTTCCTAAAATAAATGTACTTTTAATACTGTTTAAGAGTAAAGCCAAATAGAATGATTTTTCTTTATTTTTCTGTTTGCAGAAACCTCAAGTATTTGTTGTTAAGTGATCTTCCTGGAGTAAAAGAAAAAGAAAAAATTGTCCAAGCCTTTCAGTTAGCACTGCCTTCTCTGAACCTACAATTAAACCTGAAGTAACAAAAAATAAGTGTCTGATTTCAATGTAAAGAATCATTTGAAAATTTCGATTGTAAATAGTAGCTAATACTATATAATTATTACTAGAACAGAGAGGAAAAGGCATGTTGAGTCTGTCACACGTCAACAGTAGTCAGGTGTGACTCAACGGTCGTGCTAAGATGGGAGACTGATATTTTGTACATTAAAATGCCAAGCAGGTAACAATTAAATTCGAATATATGAAAGGGTTTCAAAATGTTCATGGAAAATTGAATTAAGATAATGGAGTTTTTGCACAAATTTTGAAGTTCTCCCACCCCATTCCCAACCCCCATATTACTTGATAATAATGAGGTAGCTACTTCTTGGTGTAATAATATAGAAGTGATTTAAATGTTTAACAGATAATTCTTTATTGTAGTATGTGTAACAGTAATTTACAGTACATTTCACTGTAGCTTGAATGTTACTGAAACATGTTACCACAAATGCACAATTGTGAAAATGTGAAGCTAAATTACAGACTCGGTGGTGGAAATCAAAGTTGTCAGTGGTATTGACACTTCATACCCCTTCCTGTGATTTGCATACATGTCCCACGATCCTGGTTTCCTGTTTTCTTTATAACATTTTGTCTCAGAACAAGTAGTTTCTGGTTAATTTGTTTTATTTTGTGAGCTTAAAAACCAAAAACAAACCACTGCTGTTGAGCGGGTTCCCAGTCTCTCGACTGTCCAGGGCAGAGTAGAACTGCCCGTCTGACTCTCCAAGGCTGACCATCTTCCTGGGAGCAGACTGCCTCCTCTTTCTCCCAAGGAGCTCACAGACCTTTGCAGCTGCGGTCGGCTTTATTAAATCTGGATACAGACATCTGACTGAATTGAAATAGCTGATGCTCAAAAACGAAACAAAGGCAACAACTATGAAGACCAGCATCTAAATTCAAAAATCACCTTAAACATCGGGCTGTTTCACATTATTAGGAATGTATTTTTACCCCTGTCAAGAGTTAGTCTCGGAACTCCACAGGGGCAGGTCGACCCTGCCCTATAGGGTTGCCATGAGTCGGCATTGACTCGATGGCAGTGAGTTTGGTTTGGGGTATATTTTTGGATACCACTTCCTATGAGCTTAAAAGACATCATAGAGTGTAACACTCTATGATTTAATTTATATCTAGAAGAATAAAGACTCTTACAAATAGGTAATATTATGACCTGCTTGAAGCAGCCCTGATATTACTGAGTTATATGCTAACCTGTTTGTAGATATCTGTATGTTTGGCTTGTACATTAAGGTGTTGAATAAAACTTTGACTGGAAATACACTTAAACACTTTCTATGATACAGGAAAATTTTTTTTACATAATTTAAAGACCAATTTTTATATAACTAGCACAAAACATCAGTAGTATATATTTACTAATTATAAATGCCATTGTTTTTGCCGAGAAGAAAATCAGGAAATAGAAAATTATAAAACAAAACAAGGATGTAGAAGAGTCTCATGGGCCCCAGTGGTGATTCCCTACTGGAGGAGAGGATTGCAGATGTGGCTCAATGACATAAGAGCACACATTTAACAGAACTCATTAGAAAGAGATGAGCCCCTTTTCTCAACTCTTCTCGTCGAACGACAAGGCTACTGATTCACCACAATTCAGTCTGCAGCTACTCTCCTGGTCAGAACAGCTTTCTCTAAAACCACTGGGTGAACCAGGCGACTATATTCATCTGCCTCCATCAAATGCATTTTCTTAGGTTAACAAAGCACACACATACACACGTAAGTCACAGACGTTGGACATCCTTGTCATTGGAATCAGCTACATAACAAGAACTGGATGGCAGTGGGACTGTTATATAGCCCCTGTCAGCTCTACACAAGAAGCTACATACATCAGGAAGCCGTAGCCTGCCACTAAACCAACAGCTGCAATTATGAAGCAGATGCCAGAATTAAGTGTATTACTCTGCAGTATTACTCTCATAAAGAAAAGTCATGGTGGAATGAAAAATGTAACAACTCTCAATAATAAATTTTTTAAAAATTCACATAGCATGATAAGAGTTGTATGAGCCCCTAATAAAATGATTAAAAAAAATTCACATAGCAATATACAGAGTGCAGAAGGAATGCTTTGAAAATGCAATAAAATTTTGAAAACCATGACTGAGAACAGCTAGAAAATAGCTGTTCACTCAAGATCGATGTTGAGCTTTGAGAGGTACCCACACGCTTCACACTGCTTGCGTCTAGAAAGGACAAGGATGGAGGAGCTTTTAAACAGGAGCAGCAGGTCAAGGCAAAACAAACTATCTGATATTAGGTATCATCGTACAAAAATAGGAATAATCAATTATGTCATTTTGAACGAATTATTAACAGGTAGTATACACACATATGTATATGCATACCATGTAAAAAGATGTTTCAGGAGAAAGATAAGCTTCCACCTAATGTCTTTCATGACCCAAGTAAAATCTCACAGGTGGTATCTTCCAAAACAGATCAGTATTTACACTCCTGCTGTAGATCAACCTCGAGGTCTAACGCTGAACTAGAGAGAATGCTGGTCATTTTCAAGGTGATGGGTTGTTTCCACTTGAGAAAATGTAGTTCTTGTTCTACCCCTTGACCACTTTACTCAGCTGCCAAGCTTCATGACATTGGTTGTATGTGAAATGGGTGAATGAACATGTGCAGATGGATTTTGTAAATCCATGGTTTGTGTACTTCACTGCAGGGTAAAGGCAAAAGTACATGTAGTAAGTAATACCTACAAACTTATCATTAACTATCCAAGCAAATACAAGAATATAATCATTTATATTCATGTCAATATTTTTAACATCTCTTAAATATTCTAAGTGTTTTAGGATATACAAATCAAGAAGTCAAGCAAGCAGGAAACAGAACGTTAGGCATTTTGATTTCAAGATATAAAACTATCCTTATGTAAGATGCTGAGACTATCTGGATGCAGGCAATAGGAACAAAGGAACGGATTCAAGGAAATACATATGGCCATTCCATAGTATTTTTAACTCATCACATATGCGAAGCATTGAAGTATAAATCGTTTTGACATCTCATTTTGTCAGAGGTATGGGCAGTAGATACAGTTTATGATTTGTCCATAAGCTGAGCTGTTTGAGCACAACAAAATATAAGTGAAATTCCAAATAAGCCTTTAGCTCTTACCATTAAGCATGGAAGACTGGATTGGAATTTTTTCTTCCTATTTTGCCATGTGCCCCCTATACAGCCACCCCTTTAGTTGCTACGGGGTGTAGATTTCTCCGGGTGTAGATTGTGGGGTCGTTTTCAATCAAAAACTTCATTTTCAAATGTATACATCTTTTAAATCAATGAAAACGATCAATCCCTTCTCTCCCCAAACTTCTAGCTCCTTAAATATTTGGGAACCTGTAGCTAAGTTTCTTGCCGTTGCAGTAGTACTTTTTGGTCTCCAAAGTGGGAAGGGTGCTGCTGGTCACGGTGAGCTGGGGTAAGCGTTGCAACTGCAAATGCGAAGCACAGGATTAGACTCACAACAGTGCCTGGGGTTGAGTTCATCACAGAAGACGTGATTGGGTCATTATCATTTTCTGCACAGCGTCCACAACCTGACCAAGGACACACACGCTTAAAATTTGGTCTCTGCTTTTCCTCTGAAAGCCTTCCTTTATATTACAAAGCAAAACCATTGAGGAACATGTGGAGTGTGAAAAGGGAAAAGTCTGCACGCACCAATTTTAGAAAAAGCACGGCTTCACAGGAGTGGAGAGTTTGCAGACACCTGATCATTTAACCTCATTCCTCGCCTGATAGAGAAAACGGGTCCATCCGGATATTTAGGGCACTTGGCGCACTTTCCTAATTAAATAGGCAAAACTGCTCCCTTCATGCTGAATTCGTGGTCAGATAAAAAGGAGAGTACACCTGTATTTTTTGTATTGCTTTAGGTATCTGAAAAGTAGGTGCTATTAAATCTCACTGGACTCCCTCAAGACCCAAAAACATTATACGAATAGTGCAAGTCCCCGATAGAGAGATTCCCATCAAGATCCCTTACTCTTGGACTAGCTCTGAGGAAAACTCCCGCCTGTGTTTCTGTCTGCATCATATAGAGAATGGCATTCTTAATTTCTTAACTTCAGTCCACCTGAAGGCTGCACCTGTGACCGGGCCCCGGCACTCACACATACCAGAAGCCCTGCCCCTGGGGAGGAGGTTAATGTTTGGGGGCCCAGATGGTCGTGGCCGGGCTCCTAGTGCTGGGTGAGGTGCTGCAGCTACAGACCAGGCTTGCTGCTCTCCAGCCTACTCGTTCAGATGGTGCTGAGGGCAGGTGTGAGAAAATGTAAAAGGGTCACCTTGGATGCTTCCGTAAAACAGTGCACCATTTTCACCCCAGGCAAGTGCTTCCGGCTCTGTCTAAGGGTTTTTTGGGTTGGTTTTTCACGCCCTTTTGCCAAACCGCCTATCTCTCTGGTGCTGTCAAAATACGGGTGCTGCAGCAGCTGCTCGCAGGTCAGTCTCTCAGCAGGGTCCATATGGAGACAGCCCTACAGAAACAGAAAATAGTTTTAGCCTAGTAAGGTCCTTTTGATTTCTTCTACGAAGGATCTAAATTCTCTATTTGCGAAGAGAGAAAATATGGAAAAGGAGAAGTGTTTCAAAGATGACGGTTCCCATTCCTAAACGGATGCTTCAATGAGGAAGACACACAGCGGGGCGGTGACAGAAGTGTCCGTACTTCTCCCTTTCGTCCTGTCCTCTGTCCTCTGGGGAAGAGGGTATGTCCACCTCAGTGGGAAACTAGGATAATCTCTTAGCCAGTTGGTCCCTTACTTAGGCTTTGTAAAGATGAGGGTTTTTATTTAAAACAAAAATAAACCACAACATTCAGCATGGTTAAAAAAAAGAAAGAGGAAAAAAAAGAAAGAGGAAAAAAGCCATACAGGATGATGCAGCAGAGTCTCTGCCACCCAAATGCTTTCATTCTCCTTTCTATAATCAACCACTTCGTTTTTCCTTTCTTGGTCTGTCCTAGATATAGTCTATGCATTTTACAGGCATGTATATACAGGGCATAATATAGATTTGTTTCATGGCGGATCAAGCATCTGGCTGCTAACCAGAGGTCAATATTGAAAACCTGATCAAGCCGCTCCAAGGGTGAAAGGACTGGCTGTTCCCGTTAAGGACTGACATTCTCAAAAGCTGTCTCTGCGAGGCAGAAGCAACGAGATGGCAGTGTGTTTGTTTTTGCTTCTAGGACATTAATTATTCTCAACTATTGTCTTTGCCTTTAGGATGTGACCAGATCTTAACATCAGTAAAGCAGGACACCATTAATAAAACTCATATCCTGCCGAAATAGCCACATGGCAGCCGAAAACCATATACCCTAGCTTGTCGTGCATTCTTTCCAAAAATTGGGACTTTTTTAAAACGCCGCGGGACGCGGGACAACTTGTTAAAAATCAGGACTGTCCAGCCAAAAGCGGGACGTCTGGTCACCTTACGTTAGGAGGCCATAGGCCTCGTAGGACAGTTAAATCTCAGAGGCTCACATGACAAGGAGCTACTTCAATCTTTTTTTTTGTTTCATTATAAATATGTCAGTAAAGGTACTAAATATTTTCTGAAATTGCTGAGGCATTGACTGTAACTTGCAAATACTGTAATTATCATTGGTACACGTCATTTTACGTAAGAGCTGCTGTATTTCTATAATTGTGCACACAAATCAAGTGTTAAAATCAACAGCTACTTCAAGAGTATGAGTTGGCTACTTACAAAGATCCTATAGCTAAGTCATTTTAAAGACAAGGCTCCTTTTGTAATATAAGCACTGCCCACCTGAAATTTCTATTTCGTATAAATTTAAATTTAGGATATAATGTTAGGATTATACAATTTAATATAGATTCACTGTAATGGAGTGTGAAACATTCCCCCCTCTCTGTGTGCAGCTGAAAGTACACTATACTAAGGAATTTCAAAAAAATTGTGGATAAGTGCCCTTTGCCTTTTAATTCCATTTTTCACGAACTTTTTGAAGCCCCTTCCTATTTAAGCTTTTTGAAAGAGATTCTATAAACAACCATTTTCATCTCAATCCACAGATTGACAGAGCGATTCAGATTCCCCAAAGATGAATCTCCGCGTTCTCTTAGAAGCAGCACTTGTACCTTCAAGAGTCCGAGGGCAGGATAAGAGATGTTTGGGAACTTTGATTCCAGTGGCTCCTACAAGAGTAAATAAGAAGAGGAAAAAGAAGAGGTGGTCATTATTTACATCATGTATTCAAGTATAGGGGTACCTTAAATCATTCCTTTTGAGTGAGAGAAGCCTCTTTGGACTCCTTCCTGGTCTCTTCCACCCTCTGCCCAGCCCACCTGAAGCAGCTTCCCTCTGTTTCATAAGCTGCTTCTTCCCTTACCTCCAAATGGCTTTTCCACATTTACTTCCCACCCATCCCCTTCCCTTCCTGAAAACCACCGCAGGCAGCAGGTTCTGAGAGAACACGGGTGAAGGGAAAACAAAACACATTTGTCGAGCAACTGCTATTGCCTTTTTTTTTTAATGTCTCAATTTGTATGTCAACATTTCGCAGCATAAGCTTTGGAATTTATAGAAAGGATTTTTCCACTGATTTTGACCCAGAAAACCTTGTGGGGCGTTTCTACTCTGCCCTATAGGGTCACTATGAGTCAGAATTGTACCGATAGCAGTGGGTTTGGGGACTTTTGTTTTTAAATTCAAAAGCAAAGAAACCAACCCTAAAGTAGATTTTCATGAGCCCTTGAGAGCAACCTCGCTTCCCACCACGCCAAAGCTTAAATGCTTCTCTTGCTATTTCTGTGTGTTGACTTGGGGATTGGTGGCGGGGCAGCGGGGTGGGAGGTGCTGGGAACAGACACCGCACTGCTGACACAGGGCTTTGCCGGCTCCACAACAATGCCCGGGATGAGGGTGGCTGAGACACATGGGCTCATCCTGTCTGTTCGCCCAGTTTCCCAGCCCCAGATGCAACCCATCAGGATTACTAACCGGTACAGGGACCAGGGCACACGTTCAACCAGCACAGCCCCCTAAGCGCTTCTTCCTGTGTTTCTGTCAACAGGAAATGTTCTGCGGGACAGCCTCTGGAAGCCCTGTGCATTCATGAGACCTGGGCTGGTCCAGATGCTTCATTCGTAGGAACAGGAAACCGCTAAGGGACATTTAGTGGGGAACTGGGACTGTCCCGGTCACAAGGGAGCCCGCTGGGTCACCTCCCATATGTCAGGTGTCATTCCTGCTTCTCTGTCCCTGCACGGTCCACTTTTCCTCTGGCTCATGCTGCCGGGAGAGGGGAAGGAGGGAGGAAATGGAAGCCTTCCGGGTGGGGCACACCAAAGGGGAAAGGAAGCAGACGACGGAAAGACGGTCACCGTGGTAGGGACAGATGGAACTTCCATCTGGAAGCTGAGCAGCTGCTCGGCTGATTTCAATGTGAAAGCACCTTTTTTGGAATGTCACCAATTTTAACTTCACCGTGAAATGGTCTTCGTTATACTACAGACTCATTAGAAGAGATGCAGAAAATACAGAAAACCACAAGAAAGCGCCTCCAAGTCCCGCCCCCAAGAGACCCTCACGGTAATATTTTGGTCCATCTCCTTGCCAATCTAAAAAGCCCGGCACACTTTCTCAGAGGTGGTGGTGCTATTTTTTGTGAACTCAGATGTATGGGTCCTGTGTTCCACAATCACTTTCTTTTCTCATTTCACAATCTCTTTCAGGTCAGTACATATAAAGAAAATGGTTTGTTGGAGCTCTGAGGTTTTTCTATTGTAAGGCTACACCGTAACATTTCATTAATCCTCTACTGATAAAACACTAAAGAACACCATTTCTACGAAGTAATGACCATGTCAAATGGTTTCATTTGGGATAAATTCTATAAAGTGGGTTAAGACATGTAGATTTCCAGTTCTCTGTTTAGGGGGCATGGTGGGGGGTAGGGGTGGGATTCCACATTGGCCAAAAAAGATAAGCACTGGAAGGAGGCTGGCTAAGCAAGTCCCTAATGGCTTTCCCTATGGTCTCCTCATGGTGGGAACATGTTGAACCACAAGATGTGGACTCTTTGGGGTAAGAGGAGGCTTTTCCTTCCATGAGTCACTGTCTAAAAGCGGCCTGGCCCTGAGCTAGCTCCGTTCCATTGCTGACAATAATAAAGAGGTGACAGAATTAAAGTGCAAGTGGGGCTCCAATGGGCTGCTCTGCCTTCATACCCACCTTGCGGGCTGAAGCCTCTCCAGCAGTCTCTGCACTAGCCCTGAAGGTCAGCGTCTTGCTAACCAGTGTGCACCACTTTTCTTGGTCAGCCTTAGACTGGACATCTAGTACAGATTGCGCTAGTGGGCTCAGCAGGCGAGCCTTTCCCACCGACTCAGCCCAAACCCCTGAAGCCAGGCCAGTCTGCAACGCAGGCAAACAGACCGTTCACCGCCTACCACTCTGACAGGCAGAGCTCCCTCCAAGCTGGGTCACTCACCATATCTTCTGGGTCGGGGATTTTCACACCACTGAAGTATTGGTTTGTGCTGAAGACTTGCTGGTGTCTAGGAATGAGATCCCCTTTGGACAAGAAGAGAGAAAGGAACGTGAGAATCACAGCAAGCCGCAGCCTCTCGTTTCCTCCTGTGGCGGCTGTGTCCGTGGGGGCGTGCTGCCGTTTTGTGGATGCTGTCGCGTTGTTACCCAGGCAGAGGGAGCAGCATGCAGGCAGCCACCAGTGAACAAAGCCCTGTACTGGGCACAGTGGGGGCACGCAGCAGAAACCCAAAGGGGCCACCACATTGCCCCTCAAGGAGTCATGTCTTTGAGGACTCCAAAGTCAACAACTCCAAATCACACAGTCAGATTTTTTTTTTCCTGGCCCACTCTTTATTGTCCCCCACAGGTTCCATGATTAGGACAGTGATTCATATCCAGGAGAAAGAAAACCCCATGCCGCTCCACATCTCAAGAGATTCCCCCTAGTGAGACGGCATTTGCGTCCATGAGTCCCAGTGATGAGTGTGTGAGTGTGTGTGTGTGTGTCCAGGGCTGCCAGGGGCTGCCAACCTCTGTCACTCTCTCCCAGGCTTGGCTCAGCTGGCCTGAGAGGAGTTTTGCCACACACTCCTCTGGACTGCCACTTGTATCCAGTGGTAAAGATTCTGGCCAATGAACCTCAAGCCCAACTCCCAGTAGAGCTTGCGGAATGCTGGGATTCTGACCAGGCTTCAGCAGAGCCTCCAGATTAAGCTGGGGTAAGAAGAAAGTGGAGTTCCACTTAGCAAAGTCAGCCAATGAGAGCCCAACCATGCAGGGGACAAGGGATCATGGGAATGGTGCAGGCTAGGTAGCAGTTCTTTCCGCTGAGCATGATGTCACCACCGGTCAGGTCCTACCCAGTGGCAGCTTACAACAACAAGGACTGGGTGCAGATGTCAGTGCAGCAGCGTAAAGAGAAATAGAGGCAACGAACTCGCCCACAAGCAGCCTACAGGTGCTACAGGACGTTTCTAAGAAGAAAAGTTTGCTTCAAATTGGGAGAGCTAGAGGCATAGGGTGCGCACTCTCAGCATTTCGAGAAAGGTAATCCTGATTTAGGGATCATCTACAATCTTCCTTCCCCTCCCCCTCCTCTCCCACTCCCTCGCTCTCCACAGACAGAGGAAGGAGCACTGGGGAGGGAGGGCAGGACAAGAGTACCTCAGGAGACCACAACCTTTCTCCCTGGCACTTGGAGCATTGAAGATTTTCTTCTATAAAGTCTGATGAACCCAAGCTATCTTGGCAGGCTGGAGGTAAGGGTATCCAAAGAATGAGTTTCTGGACTATCATCAAGATGGCAAATATGAGCAGTTCTACACATTGTTGAGCCCTTTCAGCAATCTCAATTGTCATCACTGCTGTGCTTCAGAGTTTAACTTGATCCCAACCATGCCAAAGTGAGGATCATGCGCCTTCTCAGACACTTAGGACGTCCTACATAATTGTTAGACATTTTTATGGAAACAAACGTGGACATCCTGGATGGAGTTATTTAATCGAGGTGTTGGAAGTTTCCCATTTTTATTTATGCTCATGAATACTTTCCTAACTGCAAGGGCAGTAGACGATACTATGAACTGATGCTCAGCTCGGCGCTCACGTGGGTACACACATCCAGTTTCCAGCCCTGTGTGACAGGAGTACCACTCACCCAAGGTTTTCCGGATCAGATGGAGCTGATCCACGTCGGATTTTCCTGGCCACAGAGGCACGCCTGACAGCAGCTCAGCAAAGACACAGCCGATGGCCCAGACGTCGACTGGGGGGCCATAGTGTGTGTCCCCCACTAGCAGCTCAGGGGAACGGTACCACCTGGTAGCAACATAATCCGTGTAATAGTCGCTCGGTCCAGCTGGCCAGTGATGAAACATGGAAAACAACAGGAGAAGCCTACAATCAACGCGTGGAGGGGAAGATCCCAGAAAGTCAGCTTGTGATTAACCTTGTGGTTCTTCTAAATGAGTGGTTCTCAGCACTCGTACATAAAATAACTTGGAAACGTGTTGTTGCTTTTTCTTTCTCGGTTGCCTTTGAGTCAACCCGGACTCCTGGTAATTCCGTGTGCATTATCTAACCCTATCAGGTTCTCAATGGCTGATTTAGGCTTTGCTTCTGAGGTGCACGTGGGCACCTTGAACCTCTAACCTATCCATTACAGTGGAGAACATCCACACTTTGCACCACTCATGGACTGTGCAGTGGAACATTTCTAAAAATACAGATGCTTGGGCCCATCACCAATCCAATTGAACCAGAATCCCAAGGGAATTGGGATTGACATTGACATAGTTCACCTGGTGCCTCTAATCTGCAGCCAAGGATGAGAAAGACTCTTGTAAATATTCTGAAAAAAAATGAAAAAACTATTGTACCCCTCCAAAAAAAAGTAGGAACTAGGAAAACCCCCCCAAAAACCTACTTTAAATATTAGCTTTAGTAGGGTATAACTTACATATAGCATACACTTCTAAACAATGGCATGTATCTACACATTTTCAAAAATTACAAAATTTTAATTCGTAGCAAGCTCGTGCGTGAGCTATCCCAGAACTGGCTTTCTGTACTAGTTCCGGTCCGTTATCGGGTTGTCAGGTGCCGTCGAGTGACCCTATTACAACAGCGTGAAACACGGCCTGGTCCTGTGCCGTCCTCAAACCCTTCAACCTAGGGGGAGCCTTTCCACGTTTTACACCGAGCTAAGACAGCAGCGGTACTCACTGAGAAGCCGAGCGAAGCCAAAGTCACACAGTTTAATCACTGAGCGTTTCGTGATGAGGATGTTTTCTGGCTTTACATCTCTATGTATGCACTGGTCGAAACAGACAGACAAAGCAAAAGCAGTTTAGTGAGCAGCATCTATAACATAGGAAAACATGACTATTTAACAAAACTTTAAATCTTTCCATTGGTCCTTTATATAAAAATAAAAATAAAATAACATGTCCTTTATTTAAAAATAAAAATAAAATAACATTTGTTGCTATTGTTAGGTGCTGCCCGATCAGTTCCAACTCATAGCGGCCCCGTGTACAACAGAACACAACACAGTCCCGTCCTGGGCTGACTTTCCCATGCGCTGTAGAAGCCCATTGCTGGTACCACTCCCTTAATCCACTCTGTGGAGGCTCTTTCTCCTTTCAGTGGACCATCGACCAAGCAGGATATTCTTCGCTAGGGATTAGTCCCTCCTGATAACATGCCCAAAGTGTAAGGTGACCAGACGTCCCACTTTTGGCGGGACAGTCCCGATTTATAACAATTTGTACTGCGTCCCGCAGCGTTTTAAAAAAGTCCCGATTTTTGGAAAGAATGCACGACAAGCTAGGGTGTACGATTTTTGGCTACCGTGTGGCTATGAGTTTTATCAATGGTGTCCCGCTTCACCAGTGTTAAAATCTGGCCCCCTTACCAAAGTGTGAAGTCTCATCATACTTGCTCTAAGGTCATACTGCCTGTTCTTTCCAAGACAAATGTATTTGCTCTTCTTGCAATTCATGGTATATTTAATACTTTGCCAATACCATAATTCAAAGGCATCAATTATGTATTGGTCTTCTTGATTCATTGTCCACATTTTTCATACACAGGTGAATGACAATACCATGGGTTGGGCCAGGTGCACCGTAGTCCTCAAGGTCCTATCTTTGCTTTGTGATACTTCAAAGAGGTCTTTGTAGCAGCTTACCCCAATGCAATATGTCCTTTGATTTTCGGACGGCTGCTTCCAAGAGCGTTAACTGTGGATCCCCATGAAATGAAACCCTCGACAACGTCACTCCTTTCTCTATTGATCAGATGTGGTTCCCTGGACCACCAGTGAGCAGTTTGGGATGCACTATGTTCATGTATAATCCACATTAAAGTAAGGGCTTCAAGTGCTCTTGGCCCTCAGTGGCAAGGTTATGCCATCTGCACACTGCAGGTGCTAATGAGCCTTCCTCCAATCCTGAAATCATGTGCTTCCTCATAGAGTTCAGCTTCTTCAGTGATTGCTCAGCATACAGATGGAGTAGCTTGATAAAAGGATACAACCCTGATGCACAGCTTCCTTGATTTTAAACTATGCTGTATCTCCTTGCTCTGTTCATATAACTGGCTCCAGGCCTAGAAGTAGGTTTTTACATGAGCACAATGAAATATTCTGGAATTTTCATTCTTTGAAATATTATTCATAATTTGTTATGATTCACACAGTTGAATACCTTTACCGAGTGAAAAAAAAGAGAGAGAGACAAACATCAGTCAGCTGGCTATCAGCAGTGATATCCCTCATTTCCTATCCCCTTCTGAATTTGGCTTAGATTTCTGGAAGTTCCTTGTCAATCTACTGCTGCAACCATTTTTTAATGATCTTCACTAAAATATTATTTGTATGTGATATTAATGATATTGTTTATTACTTGCACATTGTATTAGATCACTTTTCTTCGAAATGGGCACAATTATGATTCTTTCCAATCGGTTGGCCAGATAACTGTCTTCCAAATTTCTTGCCATAAATGAATGCTTCCATCATTACATCGGTTTATTTAAACATCTCAATGAATACGATGTCAATTCCAGAGGCCTCGTTTTTCATGAAGGCCTGCTGTGCCGCTTGGACGCCTTCATTCAGATCATGTGCTACCTCCTGACATGGTCAAACTCAACCGGTTCTTTTTAGTACCCAGACTCTGTGTTTTCCTTGTGATGCTTCCTGCATCATTCAACTTCTTGGTCACACAATACTTCAATATTGCAACTCAACATTGAATGATGGATTGTTATAAGAGTTGTAAGAGCTCCCCAATCAAATGATTAATATATACTGCAACTCAAAACCTGGATGTTTTCCATAGTTCTTTCAGCTTGAACAATGCTGCGCGTGCTCTACCCTTTTGGTTGCCTAACTCCAGGTCTTTGTAAATCTCATTATAATATTTTACTGTCTTCTGAATCTGCCTTTTGGAACGTTCTCCCCCCACCATTTTTCGTCTATTTGCTTCAGCTATTCTTAAGAGCAGGTGTCAGAGTCTTCCCTGAAGTCCATTTTGGTCTTTTCTTTCTTTCCTGTCTTTTTAAATGGTTTTCTCTTGTCTCCGTGTAGGAGATTCTTGATGCCTGCCATCCTTCAACTTGTCTGGTCTCTGGTCATTAGTGCTCCATGCATCACACCTGTTCTTGACATGGTCTCTAAATTCAAGTGGTATATACTCAAGGTCATACTTTGGCTTGCATAGGTTTGTTTTCACTTTCTTCAGCTTCAACTTGAACGTGTGTATGAGCACCTGATGGTCTGTTGCACAGTTGGCCATGGCCTGGCTCGGACTAGAGTGTCTAGTGTTGAGTTGAACTAGTGTTGAGTTTCTTCATCATCTCGTCTCACAAATGTAGCTGATTTGGTTCCTTTGTATTTCCATCTGGAGAGGTCCATGTGTATAGCTGCTGTTTATGTTGTTTTAAAAAAAATGGTATCGCTAGGGAATAAGTCATGAGTCTTGCAAAATTCTATCATGCTATCTCTGTGTTTTTATCACCAAAGCCATATTTTCCAACTCCTCACCCTTCTGTTTCTAACTTTTTCATTCTAATCACCAGTAATTAAATGTATCTTGATTACATGTTTGATGAATTTCGGATTGAAGAACTTGGTAAAACTCTTAAACTTCTTTATCTGTGATACAGTGGATGGAGCCCTGATGTCACAGTCAGTTCCCCGTTGGGCTGCTAACAACAAGGTTGTCAGGTCGAAGCTGCCAGCTACTCATGGGAGAAGGATAGGGCTTTCTACTCCTGTAAAGCTTGACAGTCTCTGAAATTCACAGGCGCAGTTCTACTCGGCCACAAGGCGGCCACTATCCACTGGAATCTATTTGACGGCAGTGAGCTTGTTTGGATGTGTCAGTGGTATCGTGGTTGGTGCCCAAATTTGAGGAATTAACTAGTTTTCCTTGTAGTCGTATGGGTATTTTCCTATCCTTGACAGAGCTGTGCTTCAGGATACATCCTGGAATATTCTTTTTGACAATGAACGCCCTTCCCAGCAGAGGAGAGATATAATTATTCTATTTGAAATGGCCACTCCGGGATGCCTACGACACCTATCTTCAAACACCGCATTTCATTTTTGGACAAACTCTAATTTCCTAGAATCACTCTTTGCACAATCCATGATCCGATGAGTAATGTGTGCTGATAATCGCTTCTCCTCATTTTGAGTTGCGTCACATCAGCAGAGGAAGGTCCTGAAAGCTTCACTCCATCCACATCATGAAGACTGACTCCACTTCAGGGAGCAATTCCTTTTTACGGACCCTTGGAAGGCCTTCCAACTTGAGGGGCTCATCTGTTGCCACTATATCAGACAAGAATCCACCGCGACGAGAATGGATTTTACTAGCCAATTGCTTCAGAAGTAGTTTGCCAGGCCTTTCGTCTCAGTCTGTTTTAATCTCAAAGTGCCACCAGAACCCTATCCACCCTGGGTGACCCGGATGGTTTGAAATACTGGTGGCAAGGCATCCAAAACCACAGCATCCCAAAAGCTACCACAGGGGTAAAACTGACAGGCAAATGGTGCAAGGAAAAATAGTATCCTAAAATAAGTCTAGTAGGCTTCTCACGGCCTGAATCATCCCAAATTTCTGACTGGCTCAGAATAAATGGTGCGGTGAGTTTGCTGGATCTAGCACATAAAATCCAGTGCACCCCGTTCAGTTTTCATTTCAGGTAAGCAACATATTTTTTAGTGTGTCTAAGTATGTCCCGTGTAGTATTTGGGACATACTTACACATGCGTACCCACTCCCCCCAGAAAGTATTGTTTACATTCAACTCAGATTTTACTGAAAGTACTATATTTAACCTGGAAATCCAGGTGACAATGTTACAAGGTTCTAGGGGAGGAGGTGGTCAGAGGAGCTGCAAGTTGGTGCCCAGGCCGAATTCTCCATTTGGTTGTTTAACTGAGAAGCCAGCACAGTTCACTGGCAAACAGGACAAGCCCTGCGTCTGCGATAAGCAGGGAAGAGACGGGCGGACCGTCAGCTGGCCCACAGATGGCTCTTCCAGCTCTGCCATTTGTCCTGACAAGATAAACCGGAGTCAGGCTGCCCTCGCTCTCTGGAGAGAGTCGATAGATGTCAGCTCTGTCCCACATACAAGTGTCTCCTGCCCTGTAATTCAAACTGAGATCACCTGTGGTTTCCAAACCACAGGCACCGTTCTTGCACAGGGCCACGTGAGAGAGAAGAGCCACATGATTGGCATTTTAAATGGCAGCGTCCCTGGAAAAGAACACATCAACAACCCAGATCACTTATTTCACAACGAGGAACCACCACTGAGTGGGTCAACATCCTACTGGGGTTCTGAACGCTCTTCCTCTCCCCCCTGTAATTTCCTCTCGGGATACCTTCTGCAGCCTGAAGAAACATCCGGTGGCCTTTGGCCTGAAGCCCTTGGGGGTCCTGCTGACTTGGAAACCGTGAGGGAGGGGCGAGGTTTGGGTGCTGCTGGGGACCAGCCTGCCTAGTCCTCACTCCAAATGGCCTTGGGGTCGAGAGATGGGGCAACGTACCCCCTGGGTGGCTGTACATTCCATGTTCCAATTATTAATGTACGCTTAGAATTCTTCTGGCATATCTCCATGGAGGCAATTTCAGGATGATTTTATTACAATCGATCTGGCCCTCTAATGGCTCAGAGATTTCTGCTCCTTTACCAGCGGTTTTACATACTGCTATAAACAAGCTGCTACTTGAGTATCATGAGAGCATGTGGCCAGAGGGCTTGTAAGCAGGAATGTGCTCCCTGCTCCAATCTGGGAATTCTTTAGGAGTTTCTGTACCCTTCCTCCATCAGCATCCGGAGCCAAACAGCTTCGGGGACTCTTGGGGGAACTGTGGTATGCAAGCCATTTTTCTGTGTCTCCAAGCCTGGGCCTCATGCCTTGGCTCCCACTTGCTCGTCCTAAAAGTTATGTCAGGAAAGCAGTGATTGCCTCCCTCCCCCACTCCCTCCCGAGTCATAGCAATATAAGGTGCCGCCCTCCGTCACGCACAGGCCTTTTCAAGGATGGCAGCCTCTGGCTCAGCGGAGGAGGCTCGGGTGGGGGAAATGCTGGCCATTCCCTTGGTTTCTCCTGGGAACGCAGCTTCTGGAGAAACCGGCTGCAGCTGCGGCGGGAAGGCAGCTCATCAGCTAATGGGCCCGACGGTTGGTGGGACGTCATACTGTGGTCACATTGGCCAGCTGGCCCAAAAGAAGCTCTAACACTGGGATCTGTCTCTGTGTTCAGGCCGTGGCTGTGCTGTCCTTTAGGAAACGGCGGGCAATCCACTGTGCCTGTCTGGGTCCCTTTGCGGCCCAGAAGGCTCCAGTTCCCCTGAGCTTCTCTGGTCCAGACTTGGCATCCCCCGCTCACCAAAACAGACACCAGCATGTGTGTGCCACACTGGGACTCTATCCACTGCACAAATCAGAGCACCCCTCGCCTATCTTCAGAGCCTTCTTGGTAGGATCAGGCTGATACAGACTAAACAAATGGAATGGGACCTTAAACCCAAGTAGCTCTATTTTGCTTTACGAGAGTTGCTGTAAATCAGAATTGACTTGATGGCAGTGAGGGGGCTAGGTGGGCTTTTGGTGGGTTTTTTAAAATTTTGTTTCAGGGAGACAGAATCATACTAGGTTGGCATTTTCTGGCCATCACCCCTTCTGGCTTATGATATTTGGGTAAAAATGATATCACCAAAGAAAATATGAAAGTAAGGCATATATATAAATATAGATATAACTATGGCAAATATATAAAACTATGGCATATATATAAATTGTGCCTCAAGGCCCCACCTCAGCTGAAGATCAGCCTCCTGATTTTTCAAGGGAGATCATAAGACTTACGCTGTGTTTATGGCAAAAATTTACAGCTTGCAGCGTCTGCCAAGTGATGCTCTTCACAAGATGTTCTGGCACCCTAACAAAAAGAGAGAAGCAGCAGAAACACATTCTTTAGTGTGGCTCCGGGCTTCAGCTCAGAAAACACAAGGAGGAACCGGGACCAGGCACAAGCAGTGGAAAATCCTAGCGGCCCCAGAGTGTCTTCAAACTCGGTGAGCAGTCCGTGCCGGTGGCGTCCAGTGTAAACAGCACACTGCCCGCACACTGTTGAACTGTAGGGACAGTAAGGTAACAAAGCTGGTATTTACTTCCCCAGGAGGGACCATGAAGATCCATCCACAGGATCAAGTGTTAAGGACCTCCTACCTCCAGCATCGGTGAGCCACTGGAAGACTGACTGCCCGGCAGCCTGAGCCCCACTGCTAACCAGGGACTTCCTGTTGAAGTAAAGTCAGTTACCATGCAGAATAAAAGATGCCAATTTGTATGGGTCCTCCCCGCCCCCAGAGGGGGGGTGTGGGCAAACCACAGAACATGGGCGAAGGGAGACAGCAGACAGTATAAGATATGAAAACAATAATAATTTATAATTTATCAGGCATCCATGGGGGTGGGGGAGCTGATACCAAGGGCTCAAGCAGAAAGAAATGTTTTGAAAAGCGATGATGGCAACATATGTACAAATACGCTTTACACAATTGATGTGTGTATGGATTGCGTTAACAGCTGTATGAGCCCCTAATAAAATGTTTTAAAAAAAAACCAAAAAAACAAATGTGTTTGATACGATTGATGTATGGATTGTTACAAGAGCTGTCAGAGCCCCCAGTAAAATTATTTCTAATTATTTATTATTATTATTAATTTTAATCATTTTATTGGGGGCCCTTACAACTCTTGTTACAAATCATACATCAATTGATCCGACATATTTGTACATATATTCCATTGTTCTTTTCTAGGTTTCTTTATTATTTTTATGCACACCTATTTTTATTGCAGTAATTTCCATAATAACAAAAACATGGAAAGAGCCCCAAAGCCTAGTTATAGAGGGATGGATCAACAAGCCCTGGTACCTTCATGCAACAGAACTTTATGCATCAATGAAAAACAATGACAAGACATGGACAAAGCTAGAGAACATTATGCTTAGCAATCTCAGTCAATCTTACAAAGATAAATATTTAATAACATCATTATTTAAGGAAAAAGAAAGAAAGCTAGTTAATACACCAATGGCTAAGACTTTGATGACTAAAAATTATTTATTAATACTTTTTTTTTAAGGATGCCACTTGTCTTTCCAATTTACAGCCTTACACAAGATTGCGCTTCCTTGTGTGAACACAGCAGCTACACATGTTTTGTGGCTGTTGTTTTCGGTCATGAGGCAGGTGTGGTGGTTACTTTTATGTGTCAGTTTGGCTATGTTTCCCAGGTCGTCATTTTTTGGGGGTCAAACACGAGCTAGTTGTTGTGCAATGTAATGTACGCACCCGTCATAACTCATCACCTGAAAGGGGCGTTTCCTCAGGGTGTGGGCTCCCCAGCTACAGACAGACACACTGGCGGGACTCTCTCCTCTCTTTCTGGACTGCGCTTCCCCGTCACCTCACCTGTGGGCTTGGGGACACAGGCCTGCAGAAATCTCCAGCCTATAGCCTGACCTATGGATTCGGGTCTGACCAGCCCCTACAACTGTGTGATCCAGTCCCTTAAAGGAAATCTCTCTCCCTCTATGTACTGTGCACGCCCGCCCGCACATGTGTGTCACTGGTTCTGTTCCTCTAGAGCAGTGGTTCTCAACCTGTGGGTCGCGACCCCTTTGGGGGTCGAACGACCCTTTCACAGGGCTGGCCCGATTCATAACAGTAGCAAGATAACAATGATAAAGTAGCAACAAAAATAATGTTATGGTTGGAGGGGGTCACCACAACATGAGGTACTGTATGAAAGGGTGGCAGCATGAGGAAAGTTGAGAACCCTAACACAATAATAGGGTAGAGGATTATACTGTATACCAAGTAACAAAAATTAACAAGAATTAACAGCCATGTTGGCTCTTCGCGCACAACGCTTCCCTCTGGGGTCGAGCTGGACCGGCTCACCTCTCCTCACCCTGTCCCCATCACAGCAGGCAAGCTCCTGGCCATCATTCCTTCCATTGCTTCTCTGGCTCAAACCCTACATGATGAGGGCAAACCGTGGTCCCAGCAAGGAATTCCTCGGTGTGAGTTAGAAAAATGCCCCTTCTCTGGGAAGTTAAAGTGACCTTTTTAAGAATATTAGTCAACGAGGAAATGAACTGCAGAATGAGGGCAGTTCAGATCTCTCGTATACCAGCTGGACTGACCGTTTTTGTCAATCAAACATGAGGCAATCTTGCTATGGTCCTCGGGTGAAACTAATGCCTAAGGCAGGGAGCAACTCCTTGAGTAGTTGTGTTAGATCAAAAAAAGCCTCTGGGAGCGGCCACAAGGCCACTGTTATGAGCCAGACTTCCAGGAAATCCTTCCACACAGACCAGAGGATGCTTGAGCGCAGGTGCGACCGCATGCGGAGCCTGCAGGGCCACCGCAGGAGCATGGGCTGGAACTGGTTTGGACCTGGGCTCTGACCCCGGGTTTGAAGTAGCTTCTTTCTGAAGTTTCTTCCTTGTTGAGGGATACTCAGGCACAATGACTGAAGAAAAAAAAACGTGTGTGTAGAAAAACAAGCCTAGAAAAATACAGCTAACAAGGCGGCATTCCAGGAGGAAATTTTCTTATAAGCCTCCACTGTTCTCCCAGAAAAAAAAAAAAGGACATAGTTTGATTAGCCAATAACTAAAACAAAATAAGGCTCTAATGCCAGGTCTCAAAAAACATTTACTAAAAGAGTTTATGCAAAAACTCTGTACTAACTTCCTAGTATCTTGGCCTGGCTGCTTATTCATTTCTTACTCCTGTTTTCGTGGTGGGTGTTCGTTTGGTAATTATGATGCAGAGGCCTCGGGCTCTCTAAGATAAGGTGACCAGACGTCCCGATTTTTAACAATTTTTCCCACGTCCCCTGGTGTTTTAAAAAAGTCCCGATTTTTGGAAAGAATGCATGACAAGCTAGGGTATACGGTTTTCAGCTGCCATGTGGCTATTTCACCAGGATCTGAGTTTTAGCAATGGTGTCCCACTTTACCAATGTTAAAATCTGGCCACCTTATTCTAAGACAACTTTTAGCGGCAACACTCAGGCATGAGGCTAGGTGCCACATTCTTCACTCCTGGGGAAGGGAGTTAAAAACATGAAAAAGGAGAAAAAGAAACTATGCCCTGTGTGATTAGACTGGAATCTGCAATATTCTCAAGTATTGTGCACAAGTGGGCCTCGGAGTAGGAACAGCCCAATAGTAGTGAGTGCACCTAGAGCTGATAGTATGGTTTCTAAGTACCAGTCTCTACTAAAATGAAGAGGAGCTCCTTAGAAAGTGGACAACTCTAGTGTTGGGGTTGCGAAAAAACAAGACGCGCCTGTAACACAATGTGCAGAAAATGAGGAAAGACACACACACACAAAGGGAAGGGTTACAGCAGTGAGTATGAAAGGCCCCTACTAGTCAAACTGAAGATAGGGCATATGAGAATCAGAATTAATAATGATAATGCTAGTGCATGGAGGGGTAATAGGGTACTGAGTTGGTAATATATTTTCAAATAGGTCAGGAGGAAAGATCTCTATATTGTACTTGCTGATTTTCCCAAAGTTTGAGATTATCTTAAAAATAGAGAAAAAGACCTGATATTCACACTATGAAATATATCTTTGCAATGCTAACATAATTTTAAGACCCTTTGAATCATCAGCTAAATTCTTTTTTTCTCTTATTTAAAAAAAAATTTTTTAAATCATCAGCTAAATTCTTATTAACACAATATATTTTAACTTTGAATTTGATTGTCATTCTAAATTTTCAGAAAAGTTGCAATAAGAATATACAAGAATGCCTATTGTTAACAAGTTACACATTTATCATTTATTTTGCCCTACACACACACACACACACACACACACACACACACACACACACACTCACTCATAAACAAAAGCCCTGGAGGTACTGCACTGTCAGGTAAGCAATAAGGTCAGGGGCTCATACAACCAGACACCCCGCGGGAGGAAAATGAGGCCATCTGGTCCCATGAAGATTTACACACTGTGTAGGGATCAACTTGACGACAGGGGTGTACACACACACAAACATGTAACCATACATATGATAGGAGTCTGAGTCGGTATACACATGTATGTATACACTATGTGACAGGAATGTGAAGATGAGTCTGGATACACACAGAGGGTGATGGACGAAGTGCTATCTGACACAGGATCATCTGGAAAGTTCCTCTGGTTCAGGAGACACCTGAGGGAGTCAGCTGTTCAGACTGGGACAGGTGGGAGACGTGAGCTCTGTTTGATCGTCGATAGTTACCAGGGAGAGTGGGCTCCCGTGTCGAAGGAGCGGCGGTTCTGTTGATGGGAATAGAACATTTGGCAGCAGACCCGGGTGGTGGTTGCACAACATGATTAATGGCAACTGCTATCCCTAAGTCATACACAGGACAGCATGTGAGTTGACAAATGTGGTGCTGGATACCAGAGGGCTTCGGAAGGTCAGTGCAAACATTCCATCACCTTTTCATTTCATTTTTCCATGAACTTTTTGAAGTTCCCTCATATATTTTAACAACAACAACAAAATGGAACCTCTAAGGTTTTAATCTGAGGGATTGGATGTGAGCTAGAGGAAGTGAGGAGTACCTGGTACCTGGTGGTACCTTTGAGGAGAGCATGGGGGGTGGGGTAGGAAGTGGTTTTGAGTAAGGGAGGGTAGATAATTTGAGATGCTTATTAGACATCTAAGGGGAGACTCTCAGGAGGCAGTGTGAATTCAGAAGGGTCAGGCCTGAAAATATGTAGGAGATGCATGCATAGTGCGGCTATTGAGAGGTTTGGGAGTACATGCTCTAGAAGAAAAGTCAGAATCCGTTTTTTCATAACCCATTTGGAATTATTCCTAATAAAATGATAAACTGGGGT